GTTCAGCTGACAAAAAAGTTGGTTTGATTCTCAGGGATCACTTTAAAAAATGTATAGCTTGAATGCAAATATAAGCGTAAATATAATATGTACAGAAACCAACCGGCTATGCTGCTTAGTCCCTGAAATAGGCAAACAGGCAAATGTCATGAATGTCATTCCTTGGCCAGCTGATCGAAACAAAATTCTGATTTGGCTTTATAGACTTTCAGGCTGTCATATTAAAGAAGGAGTTTTGAAGTTGCTGTCATCTTTGAAAGCCAGTCTGAGAGAGCTGGACCTGCAGTATAATGACCTTGGAAACATCATGGAAAAGAAAGTTTGTCTACGGAAGTATAAGCAGCCCTCACTGAGGTAATGTAGCTTTTATCTGCTATTGGTTCATGTGGAAGGTTGGAATGAACATCCACGGGATCCTATGAAACTTGTAGTGAGGACTTTGATTCTTCCTAGCCATTCAGTGAATTGTTCACTGTTGTGTTCAAGTATACTTCCTTTATGCTACTTTAATATACAAGCACTGTAGTGACTACTGTAAAGGTGAAACGAGAGACTATCTATTCATGTTTAAATTGTGCTTCAATAAATGTGCAATGGTGTGATACTAGTCTTAACATATTAACTGATACTAACCCTAACTCTAACTCTAACTAGAATTTACACTGGAGGAGTCTGCAGTCACCAACCAGGACTGTACCAATGTGAGTTTAATCATGGATCATCACCAAAATTGTAGGTTAAAATGTAGACGAATGTCTGTTTGTAGTTTCTGTAACTACTTCACCATTTTAACACCTTTTCCCATTTCATTTTAAAAGGTCTTGTGGTGTGACAGATGGATTTATAGAAGTGCAAAAATGTCTCTAATTTACATTTACATGTATTTACATACATAGGTTCATAAAAACCTGCCTGCATTAAAATATCGAAAGAATTACCAAAAAGTAGCTTTAGATGGAATATGGCATTTGACTTCCCTAAAGTATTTTACGTCATCTACACACAATATGCTAATAGCTAATGCTAATTGTAGATATTTAAGCTGGCATTTTCTGATGAATCTCACTTTGTTTTAGATGCTGTCACGCTCACCTTTGACCCTCAGACGGCTAACGAATACCTCTATCTGAACGAGAACAACACAGTAGCTGTTTGTAAAAGGGAGAAGCAACAGCTTCCTGCTAATGACGAAAGATTTGACAAGTGCAACCAGGTCCTGTGCTGCCAGCCGCTGTCAGGACGCTGCTTCTTTACGGTGGATGTGAACGGAACAGGTGTGCACATGGGTGTGGCATGTAAGGGAATCAAGAGGTTTGGTGCGAATGACACCGTATGTCTGGGACGCAATAAGATGTCGTGGTGTTTATGTTGCTCAAAAAATGTATTTGTGGCTCATGACAAAAAAACTGAATCACTAACTAAACCACTTCAAACAGAGTCCACCAGAAAAGTCGGTGTGTTCCTGGACCAGGAGGCTGGTTCGATTTTCTTCTATAGGTTGAGCCCAGAGCCTGAACTCTTGTACATGTTTGATGCAGATTTTCCTGAGGACCAGGAACTTTTTGCTGCGTTCAGTATTCAGGAACCAGACAACTCAGTCTGTTTAAAGGGATAGTTCACCCAAAAATGAAAATTTGATGAAAAATCTCCATTTGTGTTCTACTGAAGAAACAAAGTCACCTACATCTTGGATGCCCTGGGGGTAAGCAGATAAACATCTAATTTTCATTTTTGGGTGAACTATCCCTTTAAGGCAAGCATCACTATAACTATATGTATTTACTGTTACAATTACAATTTGTGCTCCAGACATGAATGATGACTCAAATTAGGAAAGGTTTGCTATTATTGCTTGAGTGATCAGACTTACGGTATTCACCTATCAGACCTACTGAAAGCAACCAGCTAGTAAAACCACCTAGAAGCTCCAGATAGTATTGAAACATGATTTCATCATCATTGTGCACATGATAAACACCAAACCCAGATACTCCAGAACTCTTTATGAAATAACAGTTAGTACTATGTCTCATGTTAAATATCAGTTAAAATGTCTGTCATTTTGTATATCTCAGTGTAACAGGTTTCATTTAAGCAAAAATAAAGTTGTATTAATTGGATCTGATGCAGTTTCTATGTATGTGACTGGTTATTTAAATCTGTTTCAATATACTGTTAGCAGTCTACTCTCACTTAAAGGGATAGTTTACCTTCATGTCATCCCAAACCTGTATGACTTTCTTCTGTGGAACAATAAAACAAGATACTTTGAGAAATGTCACAGTTTTTTAATATATAGCCTTCATGCTCCCATTGTCTCTTGTCTAGCTTTCTTTGATGTATCTGTTGTTTGGTAAGTTTTTGTCCTGCTCAAGTTCATGTTCAAGTATAGTTCTATTCAAGTCGTCATCTTGTTTTGCTTAGTTTGTATTACTTTTTGCTTTATTAAACTGCATGTGGGTTCTTTAAACTCGGCTTTAGTGGATTTTTTTTTACAATAAGTTTTGAGCTGTACAGTAAAGACCTGATAGGTCGTTGGACTTCTGATCATACAGACATGAAAACACTAAACACCTGCTTAGGTGAAACCTAACATGTTAAATCACATTTCAATAATCATATTTATTTAAAACTTTAAACTGTATTAGATAACTATTTTCTGTGCATTACAGAATCTGTGCATTATGAGCGTTCACATCTCATAATGATAATAGCTGTTACAGGTGTTCATATCTGTTCATAGGTTTTATTTACCACAGAAGATGTAAACAACCATGGGAAAAAGGCAAGTATCGACATGCCAATAAATAAATAAGTTTACCATTTCAAGTACATTCATTGAATGCTCCACAGAAGCTGCCCACACAGTTCTAATCAGCTTTTTTTTCTAATCAGGGAGCTTTTTCATCATCTTTTTTTAACAGCGAAAGAGGAAACAGAGCAGGAAATAACAGATATATTTTCAAAATTTCAGTAATCCACCAATAGGAATAAGGGAAGACACAAAGCAACCAATAGCATTGTTGAATGGGCTGAGATGTGGACTGCCACTAACCTGCCAGCAGTTTATATGTGTTTTTCCAAATAAAAGCCAAATGTTAACCATAAGTTAACATATTCCATGGTGTGCTATAGCCAAGCCACATATGGCTCTCAGTTGTGTGCTATCATCTGGACCATATACCTCAAAAAAATTGTCATGCAAAAGAAAATTCCCTCCAATTCTAAATCCATGGCAAAACATATACGGTTAAAGTTTGGCCCATATGTGCTCAGCCATGCCATACCTAGGCCAAATGTGACAGCTATCAGCCACATTTGGCCCAAACGTTCTTGCTATCTGGGAATGCTCGAATAAATGTCTAAAATATTATATGGAATGCTAGGTATGTTGTGACCCAAAAGTCCACGTTATATGATCATCTAACACCAGTGTATGACAGAATCTCCCTCCAACACTGATCACTAAAGTCTATTAGCTGCATATCAATACCTGAAAGACGGACGTGAATGATAGATTAACAGAGACAAACTGTTACTAAATATCCAACAAACTATAAGTGTTGCTTCATACTACATGTTTTGATTTAAACATTAGAAAACAAAGAAGCCTCTGAAAGCTTTCAACCTAACAAACCCCAAACTTTACAACAATAATGTTTATAAAAACAAGCCTGCTGCTTGATTTAATCCTTGTATCACTTTCTCAAAATGACTTCTCAGGCTTTATCCAAGTTTGACTAAGGCAGGTATACGGAATGTGAAACTTTATTGGCACAATAAATTACACAATAAATGTATAAATTAAATTCATGATCTGTCTATTTTAACTCTGCCTCAGTCCTGTTATTTCATAGGCAAAGTTCATTTGAGCTTTATATTTCATTACGATATTGAGAAGAAAAAAAAAACAATGGTAACGCATTATAAAGTGAAATAATGTGAAGGAGACTGCGTTTGAAAAAGATACTGACGCAGTCACGTGGTTTTCAGAAGAACGGAGCTTCAAACGTCATAGATCACGTGCTTTTGGCGAAAACGAAACAAGCTCCGATACAGTGCTTTGATGTGAAATGTGTGTTGTTGTTGTTTTTTTATACAAGCTTCGGAGCTTCCGAGTTGAATGATTATGTTATCCAGAACCCTAAACACAAGCAATGCTGCCCTCTACTATCTGATAAGATGAACTGTAAACTACCAGACACTACACATTCAAAGTGGGATAAATACTCAATAAATTTAAGCTTTTTATGACTACTTTCGTTTATTGCCCAGATATGGTGCAATTCGTACAGTTGTGTGATCTGGGGCAAGTTCAAGCTCAAACCGGAGCGCAACGTTTTGCTACGTTATCCGGTTTGAACGACATGTTTCCTGGAAACGGTGTGCAACGGGGTTTGAGATGCGTTTTCTCTTGTTTGGTGGGTGTGTCAAAAATGTCAGCCCAATCAATTTACAGCATTTACTAGTTACCATATCAACATTATATAGAGAAACAAAGTGTGCCAAAATTCAAAAGTCTCTTGAAGATATCGCTGAAAATCTATTTTACCATAGTAAAATTATATTTCTGGCTTAAGTAAATTTTTCATCTCAGTTTTTATTACTCAATTAAAATGAGACAAATCTGCTATTATTTTAATCTCCAATCTGTTATTTATCAGTTTAAATTATTTTTTAATGCTTCGCTAACTATCAGAAGACAGTAACCAGTTTTAAATTCCAGTTGCGCAGATGGGGTAT